TCTCAGAAAGAAATTGTTCGGCGTGCTTGAATGCCGCTCCCTGATCGAGAATCTTGAACATGAGGTCTTTGCATCCTTCACTGACACGTCCAAACTGCAGTTCCTTGAAGTGTTTGACGGCGTTGTCGTACGGCTGTGGATTCCTACCATCAAGAAGAAACCGGCCCATTCCATTCCACCAAATTGCGTGCCAGTCCTCGTTGCAACCAGTTAGGTCTTGACACTCAGTGCAAGATCTGGCAAACACTGTGGAAAGTCGTGAACAGGTAAGCACTACCATCTGTGAGCATGCGAAACACACGTACCAACTCATTTTGATTAGCAACTAACTACATGGTACCGTTGGCGGAAAAACCCTGCTCGCTTGGGCTGCACGAGTGGTGTTAAAGGAGCTTTGAAGTTCGACACTGTGTTAGCTGGTGGTGTAGAAATTAAGGGGACCCGGGCACCGCAAAAAATAGACATTTACTCCTATGAATACTATGGAGAAAAAGTCAAGGACACTGCAGACGCCGAAATCAGAGTACAGAATGTTACTGACCGCGGGCCAAAGCTGAATAAGCGCCGTGAGGTGTCTGTGTTCAAGTGAGTGATGCGTGATCAAGTTGATGAGGAAGTGCGCTTACCTAATATTATGAAGCTATCATGTTGGCGAACTTGAGAGTGGGGCACAGTTTGATCAGACTTACGCCAATTCACAATACCCTGTAGGTATGATATATTAATATCTAGTATTGTAGAAGGCTGATGTTATATCAGAGCCTGTGGTCCATAGACCATGATGTATCAACTCGCTCACCTTTCCTGCAGGCTGTGCTGTGATGTATCACGTAGACAGTGATACATCAAGTCCGATGTCCTGCATCACATGATATATCACCAGTTTGCGTGATGTATCCCTTCAAACACTTGCATGATATATCATTAGTTTGCGTGATGTATCACCTTCAAAGCTTGAGAGGCCCGCGTGATATATCATTAGTTTGTGTGATACATCACCTTAAAAGCTTGTGAGGCTTGCATGATATATCACTTTCATTAGTCTGCGTGATACATCACCGGTTTCTGTGATGCATCACCTTGGAAGCTCTACACGAGGCTCGCGTGATATATTGCTTGCGAACAGAGTTTGCACATCATATCACCTTCAAAGTTTGAGGCCTGCGTGTCACGCGGGCCTCAAACTTTGAAGGTGATATATCACTGGTTTCTGTGATGCCATCACCTTGGAAGCTCTACACGAGGCTCGCGTGACATATTACTTGCAAACGGAGTTTGCACATCATATCACCTTCAAAGCTTGCATGATATATCACTTGTAAATACATAGTATATTATATACTCGCCCTCGTCAAAAGGAGGGGAATTGGGGTTTAACTAGGAATGAAGATCAACTGCGAGGGGAGCTTGCCATGAAGAGTTGGCTGCCCACATGAATTTGAAGTGGACAGCCATTTTTCAGCGTAGATTGGCCTGGCGTTGGGCATAAGCAAGTGCACCCTCTCCGGCTTGCAGTGAGCTAAAAGTACGTCGTGAACCTTGCGTGTCCCACCAGCCAGCGTGCCAGTCGAGAAATGCAATGACGCGGCGCATTTCCTCATGCAGTAACTGCACTTCTTCCTCCCAGCGATGAGCTCGCGCTCGTGCCTTGCACCATTCAACACGTAGTGCTATAAAATGGCCAGGTCAGTGAGAAGCACCAGTGGTTAGAGCGTACTTACAGTCCTGCAGCCCTAGCTCGTTGCTGTTGGAGCCTGAAGTCTTCCAGATCCACGATATACTTTGCTGCCCCATCGTTCGGCCATCGTCGTGTTTGAGTGGTACCACATCCTTTTGCTTGTCGAGTGGCTTCAGGCTCCTCTCCCAGTTGTCGTTCTTGCCCAGCCTTGATGCCAGATTCAGAAGTGCGCTTCTAGAGGTGGAATACTTAAGTGATAAGGCGTCGATGCGACATTCAGCGTTATTGATGATTCCGTTTGCTCGGGTATTTGCTCGCTGTCCTCGGATAAATGTATCCTTATACTTGTAAAGATGGTATCGCAGGTTGAGCACAGTGCAGAGGTCATTCAGTGTGTCATACGCTTGAGCTTCACGCAACTCCCACTCATGTTTGAGCAAGCGGTCGTCACACAGTACTCGATGGGGTAGAGAGGACGGCAGGAACAGGTTAATGTTGTGAACCTTGGCTTCAGTTGCAACGTCATCCGGTGACCGCAGGCGGGAGACGCCAGGCATATACAACAACTGTACCCGGCCCCATGTGTCAATGCGTCGGTGAAGAGCATTCACCCGCTGTAAGAGCTTTCCCTTCTGAACATCTGTAGCGTGTTGTCCAACCACCTTGGCATCAAATTCAAGACGGCGCCTAGAATAGAGTCAGTTTGTGATCCAGTGAAGTTCAGAAATGTCAACGCAACTGTTGATCTTCAAGTTCTAATTCCGATGAAATCAGCACTGATGGCGAGATATCATCATGTAGGGACACATCGTTACCGCGCTCAATCTCTGTGGCCTCTGCCGTTGATAAGGCCAGACGCACGGCAGCCTGAGTCATTGCTGTTGAAAACACCATCAGCTTCTCAAAATGCGTTGAATAGAGTACACGTACTTGTCGTAGCTCTGTCTTCAAATGGGTTCGGTCGTGAACGGTCTTCCTCCCATGCCTCAATGTCCTTCCTCCATTCAGCTAGCTCATCTGTGGCAAGAGAAGCCTCGAAATTGGTGAGATCGTTGACACGTTCTTGGACCTCGATTAATGTGAAGTTGTACTTTCGGCGGAAAATTAAACCTGCGAGACAGAAACTGTAAGTTCAGATATTCAGTGAGAGGCCAAAAACTCACCCATTGCGCATATCTTCTTCCAATTCCAATCATTGAAGTGGTCGTCTAAGGTATCACGCCTTGAACCGGGACCCATTTCGCGTGTACTTGTAGCAATGGAGTTTATGTCCGCCCACCCGCGCTCTGGAGCTTCACCGTCCGTGCGACCAACACCCTTGATCAGATTGAAGGAGAAGGATGTCTGGCATTTGGCGATGTGAGCTGGCAGGTGAAATTTCGGTACGAGGAACACAATGGACTTTTCGTGGTGTTTGATGTGGTACTGGTGCGGGAAGGCGGACATACGTGTCCAGATATGCTTGCTCCATTGGCAGGCGATATCGTACGATATATTTAATGCCACTATGTCCGATGAAGACCGCATGCTAGAGAAAAATAAGTAATCCATATTAAGGTACCTGTATTGTGCTGTTAATAATAATATGACTAAAAAGTGAACATTATGCACCGTTCACCCTTTTGTAAGTCGCCGATGGAGCAGGGCCGTTTGAAATTGTGTCGTGCACAATCGATGGTACCGGCGCCAGTGGCCGCAAGCCCACGCGAGACTCTTGTATCTGCGAGATTTACCGCATTGTGACTGGAGCACGAACTTATCTGCACAGAGTTATACTTAGTGCCCAGGACGAATAGAATGATGGACTTACCTCCTGGGCAGCTCATTCTTGTGAACTGATGAAACTTTTGTAGGCATGTTCCTCTACAAAAAAAGCATATCCGTGATTGAGACCAGGATCGGCCGTGGCCGAAGAGACGTTACGGCGAGCCAGACGAAAATTGGCATCAATGCCCAGAAATAAGGCATATAGGAATCTGGATCTGTGTGAGAGCAAAGTCGGAGGGAAAAGATGCTAAACGTACATACCGTATTTCAGATGGTGCGTTTTCCCATCCATCTGGCAGATTTTTTCCTACATGGGGACATGCAGGACATAATACAGCACATGCGCCTGGTTCAGTTGCTGCGATACCTTTGGGGTGATGACCTTGACCAGCGCGTTGCATCTGCTTGATGAACCGCCACTCTCGCATCATGCGCAACATAGATTCATAACGGTCCTAGATTGTAATATGACAAATTAGAAGAGAATTAGAATTAACATTAGCACATACCTTTGGTACATGAATTCCTGTATTGTCCGTCAAACGGGCAGCTGTTTTGTAAAATTCAAACGTGGAAACTTTGGACTCGAAAGACAACATTTGAAAGTATTCCAGTGCCCGAAATGTCGCGGCTGTTTTGGGATCGACTGTTGTGGCAGGAAAGAGACGAACACGTAGTAGTTGAACGATGTGTGGCTGACCAGAAGCGCATCCGCAGAAATCTAACCCCACTTCGTAGATACCATTGTAGTGGATGATAACGAAGTCGTCGTTGAAAGCAGGGAGTGGGTTGTCACAACAAACACCAGAGGTGTGTCCAAGTTGCAAACGTATCCCCATGGACTTCGAGGTAATATCGTCGAATGAGATGCCATCCCAACGCTAAGTTTAAAACACAAGAGTCAGTTGATGTAAGGAATGTGAGTATCTATGCACATACCTCCATTTTATGAAACGGCTGTCTTGCATGTACACGGACCATACACAAATGACAGAACATCTCGGAACCGTGACAATCCTGACAATGATATATCGCAGCTTCCTCACCACAAACACAAATGTCTTGCGAATAGTCGCCCTGACCCTCCAGACGGAGGAATTCCTCCAAGAACAAGTTGGCATCAGATTCCCATAAGCGCAAGGCCTCACCATGAACCACAGTGCGTTTTTGCCTCACAAATTCTACAAACTCCGGCGTGTCATTTTGAAGGTTATCAGGAAAGTCATCGAGAGTTGTAAAGTTAAACTCTGTAGTCTCCAGTAGGACTTCTGAATCTCCACGACGGCGTTTCCCTGGAGAATTTGGAACGGTGTAGTAGGTTGAAGAGACGTTCAACCGCCCACTTTGTCCTGTTTCAAAACTGCTGTGCTTGTGTTGTTGAACATCACGTGTGTGTTGAGGCGCATCATTGGTATCGTTATTCACTGCTTTTGAAGCAGCAGCACTGTGCGCATAGAAATCGCGCTGATAATGCTTCAGGGCTCGCCGTCTCTGGCCTCCAACCATTTGTCGTCGGTGTTAGTGAGACGCAGTTCACAAATTTGGCTGGTTTATATTAAGACTTGTCTGATATATCAACCGCAGTCTGCCAAACGAGTAAGTCGGTGAACATTGCCTCATCATAAGCTTCAACACCTCCTTCGTCTATTATTGATATGACTTCCTTCTCTATTGCAAGCCGTCTCTCCATCAAGTCCACCAGTTCCTGGCTCTGCTTCAACAAGAGGTGATATCCAGTCCCAGACGTACATTCAAGTTGTTGCACGGCATCATGTAACTTGGTAGCATGCACCTGCAGACCCAGCAGAGTAATACATACATCATTCAACTCAGGGCGTAGCACACTCCAACCCTCGTCACTCACTCTCCGGAGCACTGCGATAACGCGAGATTGCATAATGCGTGCCTCGGGAACACCAGACTTGTACCCAAGTTCAGTGCTCAGTTGGTCTAAGGTGCGAAACAATGCAACAACATCCTGTTTGTGAAAGTGTAGATACATATAGCACTGTATATCAAGGAAATACGTACATCATTAAAATGACAACTTCGCACCCGCCAACGAGTTCGAGACTTTGCCTGCTCCGTAGTCTTATTGCTACAAGAAAACAAATAAAATTCATTAAGTATCTTGATAGACTCTGAGTGATTGAAATTGAAATTGACTGTTGATAATGTTGTCGTTTGCTCTGCAATCGAGCTCTGCAGCGTTCTTCTGCAGTTCCATATTTTGGTGCCATTGCGGCAATGATCTGAGGGACAAGGTGTATGTAGTAACGTACCAGTAATTAGTGTAAACAACTCACTGTATTGTTTGGTGGCATATGAGCCACACTTCGGGACAGACCTGTACTATGATAGACAATATAAAATTCAATTTTTGCAACGCGGATGACTTGGTGTCTTGCTGGATACTGGCCAGATGGTGGCGAGCTGGTAGGTAAGTGTCACAAAGTAATATACAGTTGTACAACATTTGGTGTGCTTGCGCAAGAAAATGCTTTCGACAATATATTTTAACACAAGTGGCACTGAACAAAAAAAAACAAAAAAAAAACATTACTGAAGACATCCTGAAATCAAGTTGCGCTGTTTATCAACATCATCATGTGCCTTCGGCACATGATGCAAAAGGAGCGCTTCGCGCTCCTTTTTGCAGATGTTGAAAACAGCGCAACTTGATTTCAGGATGTCTTCAGTAATGTTTTTTTTTTGTTTTTTTTTGTTCAGTGCCACTTGTGTTAAAATATATTGTCGAAAGCATTTTCTTGCGCAAGCACACCAAATGTTGTACAACTGTATATTACAATATATGACGATATATGACGATATCTTCTTCTCACAGGTTCTCTGATGTGACTCAACGGCAGACCTGGACTTTCTGATGGGCCTGTGATATATTATCGGCCATGCGAGAATCACTGTTGGCATGCTGAACCGAGCTTAAAGCTTATCAGATGACGTTGCTTGTGAGGCCTGGGTCATACAAGACTCGCATGTCTGATTCAAATGTAAATATTTATCATGATTGAGTATCTAGCATATGTAAGAATGAAACGGTTAATCCCTGTGGAACCTATTCATTGGGGACACCCCATGATATTTTGAGTTTGCAGTGACAAACAGTACTTTCACGTTAGACCGTCTCACCACACCACACCGCCAAGGCAAGCCTGAAATACTCCTTAGCTTCATGGAGTGTGGTGAAGTAATGGACAGTTGTGCCTGGGGCATGAAGCGTCCGGGTGGTAGATCTATGAATAATTAGATGCAGTTCAGATCAAGAGCAATAAACAGCGACTGACATTTCACTGTATAGCCCCACACCAAAATGACTAGTGGTCACAAACCAGTTAAATTCAAGAGCAGGGTCGAGGTCAGCGAGTGTTTCAGTACCGCTCATACTGGACTCTCCCCCATTTTCAGAAGAGGAACTATCGAGACTGTTGTCAGCAGCAGCAGCCACGGGGCCAATACAGATATCGTCAATAGAGACTTCTGAGGAAGTGTCCTCCTCTTTTGCCGGGGAGCGGTCTTCTGGGCTATGAGAGACTGTGCAATTTATGAGTAAAATGAGAGAGGAAAATGTATGCAAGTTCACGGTACCTGTTTGTGTATGGACTGAGCACACCTCATCTTCAGGTCGGTAAGGCCATCCATATGGTTTCGGTGACGATGGGGGAACTGTGTGAGATGCGATGGTGAGCAAGCACTTTGGTGATATCATAACGAAAACTTACCATGACCGTTCTGTACCATACGTATGGCCTCGATGAATTGCTCCATCGTGAAACATGGGTGGCGGAGCATTTGTACGGGTTGGTTGTGGGTGTTACAATCACTCTACTTCCTTTACTTCTCACGTATCTGCCATTATGCCCTACATTTTCCTTAGCGGCTTGACTTTCCTTTCTTGGTCTTACTTCCGTATTCGACTCTTGTACTATTATCTCACCGTAGCCCTGGTCCGTGCGCATATAGTTTCCTATTTAAGCACGTGTACTTTACTTAGAAACGTCACTTCAATCTTACTAGGTTTTGTCCAGAACTTCCTTCGCTTAACGATCACCAATCTTAAGTCATCAGAACCGATCTCTTAGTTAAAGCACTCCTTTAACTAAGTCTAAGAACCCCTTCTTATTTGAAGGGCTTTGCAAATCTCAGCAACACGAACGCTCTATCGAGCCCTTGCTGTTAGAACTATCCTAGTTCGTAACAGTGGGGGCATCTGAAGTCGGAGCTGCTGTGGTCCATGTTGTGGGTGGAGGTAGAGAGAATTATAGTGTCAGTTCGAGTGCAAAAATGTATTTGTACCACTCACTCACTGATTGGTATTGCTTGGTTGTAAATATGACCGGATTCATCGAGGAAAAAAACTTTGCGGCTGAGTAGGAAAAATAAACATCAGTGGGTCAAGTCGGCACCGCACCTCCCTGTTTGGCTCTGTACGAAACCGAGTGAAAAAAAACAAGTGGTGAGTGAGTGAGATACCAAGCATAAATAACAGATACTCACCTTACATCCAGATGGCGCCCCCCAGATGGACAAGTGCAGAGCAGTTACTCTGGCTGCAGAATGAGATGCCCGGATACTTGCAGATGCAAAAAGAAAAGAAATTGCCTCGATTCTTCGATTCATTGTTCCCAAGGTGGTTTAGCGACTTTCCAGAAGAGACAGAACTAAATGGCAGCCCACCTTGTGATGAGAACGCTGGCATAAATGAGCCCAGCAGTGCAGGCATCGAGTCCGTTATCGACACAGCCCAGCTCGATTCTATAAACGCACCCGATTTAGTCGAACAAGAAGACAGCCAGTCCAACTCACCTCCAATGGGAGCGGCAGAACGACGCAAAGTATGTGGTGTTCACATTGACCTAATTATAGAATATAACTTCATTAGAAATTGCGGGAATGGTTCCGAAATAACTCAAAGGGAAAGACAACACCTGGTGGCAGCTCAACTGGTAGAGCCCTGTCTGTACTACTTGGCCAGCGCGCACGAGGTACTCGAGACCTCAAAGAGATTGAAGTGTATTCCAAACTGCACTATGAGTCAAAAGTCAAACCGTTGGTTGAAGACGCTCTTAAAAATAATATTGTGCAACCTACCCAAAGGCTTAGTACGGTTCGGCTACACACCACTGAATGCTTTGCAGAAGAGTCAGAAGAAGTTAAGAAAGAAATTCGGGAGGAGACTGTACGTCTCAATGCTTCCAGAAGATTGGGCAATGTTGAGGGTCAGCATCCGAGAACAAAGGAAGAAGTTTATCGGTAAGTAAACATATTTGATTCGTATTACTAAGTACTGGTACTGATCACTCACCATTTATGTAAAGGACAATTCAAGAGCTGCCTTTGATTCTAGGTCAAGTTTTCGAGGAACTCTCAGCATTGACAGGTGGATGGCACTACACCGTTGTCATGGGCGGAGCTGATCCGTTGTGTGAAGGTGACATCATGACGTTGAGGTATTTCAAATTCCCTCTGCGCGACTGTTTGTTGATTCATCAACAGTTACCACCATGGTAAAACCGCAGATGGTCTGAGCTTCAAGGCGTCTACCCCAAACTTCCATGAACAGTATCTATTACCATTTGAACGACACCTTGGATACATCCATGGTAAGTGAAATTCCAGGCTACACGACTCAAAATTTATTATTAATGAAAAATACCATAGGTCCATCTTCGAAGTGTATATCAGCACCCTCATCTACCCCGACCTCGTCTCATCTTGCGCCCGTTGGCCTCATCTCACTGGACGAATTTCCAAACGAGTCCTCACTTGGAGAGAATGTGATATCCGGGCCTGTGGTTGGTCCTTCTCTGTTGCAAGAACCGGGGGACTTAGTGTTGAATCCTTACATCAACCTGGACTTCGGTGGGTCTGTGGGAGCGAACGAACATGGTGACTGGTTGATGCACGCTAGTAGCAGTGACCCAAACCTCCCATCTCCCCATAACATGACAGACACACCAATCACTGCTTGGAGAAAGTCAATGGCGCTCAACGAAGACCCGCTCGCATCCCCCACCTTTAATCGCATTCAACAACGAGGTTTGAGCGCAGTGGGTCCATCAGCCGAAGCAGTCCCTCCTTTCCTACCTCATCCATTGTCACCGCTTCATACCACCCTCTTGCCCCAGCCTTCTTCGTTCTTTGTGTTTCCTGCACTCGAGGAGGTCGATGCGCTGCCCACGCTCCAACACCATGATCCATTAGCGTTTAACCAGCCCATGTTGAATTCAGGGCCACGCTCACCTCCAGACCAACCGATTCCGTTACCTTTGTCCCCGCTTGTATCCACAGCCTCCAAGTCACCGCATTCCAAGTCTGTTGAACATCAACCTTCGCCGGCGTCTCACCAGCCAACTCATCAACCTAATTCGGAGGCGATGACAGTGTCTGTTGACTGTCAATCTTCGCCAGCTTCTCACCGGCCGACGCCTCACGACATTGTAGGTGTTTCTGCTGATGATCATCCTCAACCCAATTTGGAGGTGAGGACAGTGTCTTCATTACCTACCGCTGCCTCTGGCAGACGCTCAGGATGCGCACCACATCCTTCTACGCGAGCTGATGGAGCCAATAAAATTGGTGGCCATAACTCACAACGTGAAACAAAGCTCGCACCAAAGAGGAAGCTGACTGAAGTCCAGCGTGGTGTTGGAGGGTCGAAGAAAAGGTCTCGGAAGTAGTTCCGTTGTGTTTTCAATGTACCTAGCTAGATAACATCATGTCCTGAAAATTTAGATGAAGTTGAATAATCCTAGACGCAAAATCATGTCAATGATGACCAGAAGAGAAAATTGATGTGATTGTGCAATGGTCCAGCGCCGTCCTGTTAGTGCAGCCCCTCGAGAGGATGTATCCTACTGAGGGCATTAAGGTAGGTGATATATCATCAAAACTTGAACATGCAATTACTGCAGCTGTGGGAGGCGGGAATATATGATACATCATAGGTATTGCTGCCGCGCCTGAAAATGCATGATATATTATGTTCTGAGGTATCAAGGTAGGTGATGTATCATAAAAATATACAATTACTGTAGCCGTACGCAGGGGGAGGGAATATATGATACATCATAGCCTATAGGTATTGCTGCCACGCTTGAAAATAGTGATATATCAGTTATTGCAGCCACCGCGTGAAATAGTGATATATCAATTATTGCAGCCACTGCGTGGCTGCAATAATTGATATATCACTATTTTCAAGTGTGGCGAGACCGGGAGGAGGGTGTATAGAATACATCATATGTATTGCAGCTGTGCTTGTGTGTGACCCACTGAGGCGGGTGACGCCTGGCTACTAATGAAGGAAGCATCACCCATCCAGTAGTTCAGAGGATCATTCAGCTCGTTTTCAGTGGGTGATATATCATTAAAATATACAGTAACTGCAGCTGCAAAACTTGAAAGTACCTGATATATCAAGGCTCTATGGCTGGTAGTATATCCTCTGTAAGTATGATATATCATGGCGCTAGTATGATTGATGTATCATCTTCGGCTGCTAAATCCTCAGTAAGTACATGATATATCATGGCGCTGTGATTGATGTATCACTTTCCCACACATTGTGTCATAGACCGGGATATAACACCTCTCTTCTACTATGAGAGGAATATAATACATCATAATGACACTATCGCCTGGCCAATTTTGATGTGGTGCAGGCTGCATTTCTAGCCTTCGTCAAAGACGCTCTTGGTACGTCAATATAAGTGTCAGTTCAAAAGCATGCACTGACCTTTTCACTAGCATTTGAGTCGACACTGCCCCAAGACTCAGATACTGAGGAGGCAGAAGATTCATCATCAGACTCGCATGATGGTTCAGACGAGGAGTGGGGAAGCTGCCATTCCCTTGTTTTTGATGGAATCTGGGCCATCGACAGGCTCTCAGCCATTTCCATTGACTCAACTTGCTCAGTCCAATAGCCTCAGTGAGTTTTCCATTCGTGCTACTTGTTTAAAATTTAACCTGTGCTGTTGTTGCCAGAAACGGCGTCGTTTCGTAGCAGTCCACTCGGAGTGCCAGCTGGTACTGCCATTCAATTCCTAAAGTCGAAGAGTGCATTATCGTCCCCACCTGAATTCGTGTCAGTCAGCGAGGCGGATGTCTTGTGTCGCAGTCGATCACACGTTGATGACCCTTTTGCACCGGAGCAGATCAATCCCTGGGATTCTCGCTATTCCATGAAGCCCACTAACCTCCAGCTCATGTTAGGAGGGTCGGTTACCATTTCGCAAACAATGTTTGACAAGTGACCGGGTCTAGTATTTGTTGATGACAGGCATGCTAATTTGGTACTAGTTTTTGTCATTTCTCGTGCGTTGCAGTACATACCATTATCTCATCCTCATCCTCATCTCATTTTGTGGGTCCATCAAAACAGTATGTATTTGAAGAAGAAAAACTATAATACTGCGTGAGCCACTAAGTTAGCTCCGCACAACTTGAATGACTCGGTTAGTAGAGACTTGAACAAGCAAACGCGCAGTGCGGGAATGCGGAACCTCTTGATTAAAACACGCCCACTCTGGATTGACGAAAACGCGCAGCGCGCAAGCCGCGGAACGCGCAAATAATAAATGTGCAGATATATGGCGCTATATCTGCACATTTATTATTTGCGCGTTCCGCGGCTTGCGCGCTGCGCGTTTTCGTCAATCCAGAGTGGGCGTGTTTTAATCAAGAGGTTCCGCATTCCCGCACTGCGCGTTTGCTTGTTCAAGTCTCTACTAACCGAGTCATTCAAGTTGTGCGGAGCTAACTTAGTGGCTCACGCAGTATTATAGTTTTTCTTCTTCAAATACATACTGTTTTGATGGACCCACAAAATGAGATGAGGATGAGGATGAGATAATGGTATGTACTGCAACGCACGAGAAATGACAAAAACTAGTACCAAATTAGCATGCCTGTCATCAACAAATACTAGACCCGGTCACTTGTCAAACATTGTTTGCGAAATGGTAACCGACCCTCCTAACATGAGCTGGAGGTTAGTGGGCTTCATGGAATAGCGAGAATCCCAGGGATTGATCTGCTCCGGTGCAAAAGGGTCATCAACGTGTGATCGACTGCGACACAAGACATCCGCCTCGCTGACTGACACGAATTCAGGTGGGGACGATAATGCACTCTTCGACTTTAGGAATTGAATGGCAGTACCAGCTGGCACTCCGAGTGGACTGCTACGAAACGACGCCGTTTCTGGCAACAACAGCACAGGTTAAATTTTAAACAAGTAGCACGAATGGAAAACTCACTGAGGCTATTGGACTGAGCAAGTTGAGTCAATGGAAATGGCTGAGAGCCTGTCGATGGCCCAGATTCCATCAAAAACAAGGGAATGGCAGCTTCCCCACTCCTCGTCTGAACCATCATGCGAGTCTGATGATGAATCTTCTGCCTCCTCAGTATCTGAGTCTTGGGGCAGTGTCGACTCAAATGCTAGTGAAAAGGTCAGTGCATGCTTTTGAACTGACACTTATATTGACGTACCAAGAGCGTCTTTGACGAAGGCTAGAAATGCAGCCTGCACCACATCAAAATTGGCCAGGCGATAGTGTCATTATGATGTATTATATTCCTCTCATAGTAGAAGAGAGGTGTTATATCCCGGTCTATGACACAATGTGTGGGAAAGTGATACATCAATCACAGCGCCATGATATATCATGTACTTACTGAGGATTTAGCAGCCGAAGATGATACATCAATCATACTAGCGCCATGATATATCATACTTACAGAGGATATACTACCAGCCATAGAGCCTTGATATATCAGGTACTTTCAAGTTTTGCAGCTGCAGTTACTGTATATTTTAATGATATATCACCCACTGAAAACGAGCTGAATGATCCTCTGAACTACTGGATGGGTGATGCTTCCTTCATTAGTAGCCAGGCGTCACCCGCCTCAGTGGGTCACACACAAGCACAGCTGCAATACATATGATGTATTCTATACACCCTCCTCCCGGTCTCGCCACACTTGAAAATAGTGATATATCAATTATTGCAGCCACGCAGTGGCTGCAATAATTGATATATCACTATTTCACGCGGTGGCTGCAATAACTGATATATCACTATTTTCAAGCGTGGCAGCAATACCTATAGGCTATGATGTATCATATATTCCCTCCCCCTGCGTACGGCTACAGTAATTGTATATTTTTATGATACATCACCTACCTTGATACCTCAGAACATAATATATCATGCATTTTCAGGCGCGGCAGCAATACCTATGATGTATCATATATTCCCGCCTCCCACAGCTGCAGTAATTGCATGTTCAAGTTTTGATGATATATCACCTACCTTAATGCCCTCAGTAGGATACATCCTCTCGAGGGGCTGCACTAACAGGACGGCGCTGGACCATTGCACAATCACATCAATTTTCTCTTCTGGTCATCATTGACATGATTTTGCGTCTAGGATTATTCAACTTCATCTAAATTTTCAGGACATGATGTTATCTAGCTAGGTACATTGAAAACACAACGGAACTACTTCCGAGACCTTTTCTTCGACCCTCCAACACCACGCTGGACTTCAGTCAGCTTCCTCTTTGGTGCGAGCTTTGTTTCACGTTGTGAGTTATGGCCACCAATTTTATTGGCTCCATCAGCTCGCGTAGAAGGATGTGGTGCGCATCCTGAGCGTCTGCCAGAGGCAGCGGTAGGTAATGAAGACACTGTCCTCACCTCCAAATTGGGTTGAGGATGATCATCAGCAGAAACACCTACAATGTCGTGAGGCGTCGGCCGGTGAGAAGCTGGCGAAGATTGACAGTCAACAGACACTGTCATCGCCTCCGAATTAGGTTGATGAGTTGGCTGGTGAGACGCCGGCGAAGGTTGATGTTCAACAGACTTGGAATGCGGTGACTTGGAGGCTGTGGATACAAGCGGGGACAAAGGTAACGGAATCGGTTGGTCTGGAGGTGAGCGTGGCCCTGAATTCAACATGGGCTGGTTAAACGCTAATGGATCATGGTGTTGGAGCGTGGGCAGCGCATCGACCTCCTCGAGTGCAGGAAACACAAAGAACGAAGAAGGCTGGGGCAAGAGGGTGGTATGAAGCGGTGACAATGGATGAGGTAGGAAAGGAGGGACTGCTTCGGCTGATGGACCCACTGCGCTCAAACCTCGTTGTTGAATGCGATTAAAGGTGGGGGATGCGAGCGGGTCTTCGTTGAGCGCCATTGACTTTCTCCAAGCAGTGATTGGTGTGTCTGTCATGTTATGGGGAGATGGGAGGTTTGGGTCACTGCTACTAGCGTGCATCAACCAGTCACCATGTTCGTTCGCTCCCACAGACCCACCGAAGTCCAGGTTGATGTAAGGATTCAACACTAAGTCCCCCGGTTCTTGCAACAGAGAAGGACCAACCACAGGCCCGGATATCACATTCTCTCCAAGTGAGGACTCGTTTGGAAATTCGTCCAGTGAGATGAGGCCAACGGGCGCAAGATGAGACGAGGTCGGGGTAGATGAGGGTGCTGATATACACTTCGAAGATGGACCTATGGTATTTTTCATTAATAATAAATTTTGAGTCGTGTAGCCTGGAATTTCACTTACCATGGATGTATCCAAGGTGTCGTTCAAATGGTAATAGATACTGTTCATGGAAGTTTGGGGTAGACGCCTTGAAGCTCAGACCATCTGCGGTTTTACCATGGTGGTAACTGTTGATGAATCAACAAACAGTCGCGCAGAGGGAATTTGAAATACCTCAACGTCATGATGTCACCTTCACACAACGGATCAGCTCCGCCCATGACAACGGTGTAGTGCCATCCACCTGTCAATGCTGAGAGTTCCTCGAAAACTTGACCTAGAATCAAAGGCAGCTCTTGAATTGTCCTTTACATAAATGGTGAGTGATCAGTACCAGTACTTAGTAATACGAATCAAATATGTTTACTTACCGATAAACTTCTTCCTTTGTTCTCGGATGCTGACCCTCAACATTGCCCAATCTTCTGGAAGCATTGAGACGTACAGTCTCCTCCCGAATTTCTTTCTTAACTTCTTCTGACTCTTCTGCAAAGCATTCAGTGGTGTGTAGCCGAACCGTACTAAGCCTTTGGGTAGGTTGCACAATATTATTTTTAAGAGCGTCTTCAACCAACGGTTTGACTTTTGACTCATAGTGCAGTTTGGAATACACTTCAATCTCTTTGAGGTCTCGAGTACCTCGTGCGCGCTGGCCAAGTAGTACAGACAGGGCTCTACCAGTTGAGCTGCCACCAGGTGTTGTCTTTCCCTTTGAGTTATTTCGGAACCATTCCCGCAATTTCTAATGAAGTTATATTCTATAATTAGGTCAATGTGAACACCACATACTTTGCGTCGTTCTGCCGCTCCCATTGGAGGTGAGTTGGACTGGCTGTCTTCTTGTTCGACTAAATCGGGTGCGTTTATAGAATCGAGCTGGGCTGTGTCGATAACGGACTCGATGCCTGCACTGCTGGGCTCATTTATGCCAGCGTTCTCATCACAAGGTGGGCTGCCATTTAGTTCTGTCTCTTCTGGAAAGTCGCTAAACCACCTTGGGAACAATGAATCGAAGAATCGAGGCAATTTCTTTTCTTTTTGCATCTGCAAGTATCCGGGCATCTCATTCTGCAGCCAGAGTAACTGCTCTGCACTTGTCCATCTGGGGGGCGCCATCTGGATGTAAGGTGAGTATCTGTTATTTATGCTTGGTATCTCACTCACTCACCACTTGTTTTTTTTCACTCGGTTTCGTACAGAGCCAAACAGGGAGGTGCGGTGCCGACTTGACCCACTGATGTTTATTTTTCCTACTCAGCCGCAAAGTTTTTTTCCTCGATGAATCCGGTCATATTTACAACCAAGCAATACCAATCAGTGAGTGAGTGGTACAAATACATTTTTGCACTCGAACTGACACTATAATTCTCTCTACCTCCACCCACAACATGGACCACAGCAGCTCCGACTTCAGATGCCCCCACTGTTACGAACTAGGATAGTTCTAACAGCAAGGGCTCGATAGAGCGTTCGTGTTGCTGAGATTTGCAAAGCCCTTCAAATAAGAAGGGGTTCTTAGACTTAGTTAAAGGAGTGCTTTAACTAAGAGATCGGTTCTGATGACTTAAGATTGGTGATCGTTAAGCGAAGGAAGTTCTGGACAAAACCTAGTAAGATTGAAGTGACGTTTCTAAGTAAAGTACACGTGCTTAAATAGGAAACTATATGCGCACGGACCAGGGCTACGGTGAGATAATAGTACAAGAGTCGAATACGGAAGTAAGACCAAGAAAGGAAAGTCAAGCCGCTAAGGAAAATGTAGGGCATAATGGCAGATACGTGAGAAGTAAAGGAAGTAGAGTGATTGTAACACCCACAACCAACCCGTACAAATGCTCCGCCACCCATGTTTCACGATGGAGCAATTCATCGAGGCCATACGTATGGTACAGAACGGTCATGGTAAGTTTTCGTTATGATATCACCAAAGTGCTTGCTCACCATCGCATCTCACACAGTTCCCCCATCGTCACCGAAACCATATGGATGGCCTTACCGACCTGAAGATGAGGTGTGCTCAGTCCATACACAAACAGGTACCGTGAACTTGCATACATTTTCCTCTCTCATTTTACTCATAAATTGCACAGTCTCTCATAGCCCAGAAGACCGCTCCCCGGCAAAAGAGGAGGACACTTCCTCAGAAGTCTCTATTGACGATATCTGTATTGGCCCCGTGGCTGCTGCTGCTGACAACAGTCTCGATAGTTCCTCTTCTGAAAATGGGGGAGAGTCCAGTATGAGCGGTACTGAAACACTCGCTGACCTCGACCCTGCTCTTGAATTTAACTGGTTTGTGACCACTAGTCATTTTGGTGTGGGGCTATACAGTGAAATGTCAGTCGCTGTTTATTGCTCTTGATCTGAACTGCATCTAATTATTCATAGATCTACCACCCGGACGCTTCATGCCCCAGGCACAACTGTCCATTACTTCACCACACTCCATGAAGCTAAGGAGTATTTCAGGCTTGCCTTGGCGGTGTGGTGTGGTGAGACGGTCTAACGTGAAAGTACTGTTTGTCACTGCAAACTCAAAATATCATGGGGTGTCCCCAATGAATAGGTTCCACAGGGATTAACCGTTTCATTCTTACATATGCTAGATACTCAATCATGATAAATATTTACATTTGAATCAGACATGCGAGTCTTGTATGACCCAGGCCTCACAAGCAACGTCATCTGATAAGCTTTAAGCTCGGTTCAGCATGCCAACAGTGATTCTCGCATGGCCGATAATATATCACAGGCCCATCAGAAAGTCCAGGTCTGCCGTTGAGTCACATCAGAGAACCTGTGAGAAGAAGATATCGTCATATATCGTCATATATTGTAATATACAGTTGTACAACATTTGGTGTGCTTGCGCAAGAAAATGCTTTCGACAATATATTTTAACACAAGTGGCACTGAACAAAAAAAAACAAAAAAAAAACATTACTGAAGACATCCTGAAATCAAGTTGCGCTGTTTTCAACATCTGCAAAAAGGAGCGCGAAGCGCTCCTTTTGCATCATGTGCCGAAGGCACATGATGATGTTGATAAACAGCGCAACTTGATTTCAGGATGTCTTCAGTAATGTTTTTTTTTTGTTTTTTTTTGTTCAGTGCCACTTGTGTTAAAATATATTGTCGAAAGCATTTTCTTGCGCAAGCACACCAAATGTTGTACAACTGTATATTACTTTGTGACACTTACCTACCAGCTCGCCACCATCTGGCCAGTATCCAGCAAGACACCAAGTCATCCGCGTTGCAAAAATTGAATTTTATATTGTCTATCATAGTACAGGTCTGTCCCGAAGTGTGGCTCATATGCCACCAAACAATACAGTGAGTTGTTTACACTAATTACTGGTACGTTACTACATACACCTTGTCCCTCAGATCATTGCCGCAATGGCACCAAAATATGGAACTGCAGAAGAACGCTGCAGAGCTCGATTGCAGAGCAAACGACAACATTATCAACAGTCAATTTCAATTTCAATCACTCAGAGTCTATCAAGATACTTAATGAATTTTATTTGTTTTCTTGTAGCAATAAGACTACGGAGCAGGCAAAGTCTCGAACTCGTTGGCGGGTGCGAAGTTGTCATTTTAATGATGTACGTATTTCCTTGATATACAGTGCTATATGTATCTACACTTTCACAAACAGGATGTTGTTGCATTGTTTCGCACCTTAGACCAACTGAGCACTGAACTTGGGTACAAGTCTGGTGTTCCCGAGGCACGCATTATGCAATCTCGCGTTATCGCAGTGCTCCGGAGAGTGAGTGACGAGGGTTGGAGTGTGCTACGCCCTGAGTTGAATGATGTATGTATTACTCTGCTGGGTCTGCAGGTGCATGCTACCAAGTTACATGATGCCGTGCAACAACTTGAATGTACGTCTGGGACTGGATATCACCTCTTGTTGAAGCAGAGCCAGGAACTGGTGGACTTGATGGAGAGACGGCTTGCAATAGAGAAGGAAGTCATATCAATAATAGACGAAGGAGGTGTTGAAGCTTATGATGAGGCAATGTTCACCGACTTACTCGTTTGGCAGACTGCGGTTGATATATCAGACAAGTCTTAATATAAACCAGCCAAATTTGTGAACTGCGTCTCACTAACACCGACGACAAATGGTTGGAGGCCAGAGACGGCGAGCCCTGAAGCATTATCAGCGCGATTTCTATGCGCACAGTGCTGCTGCTTCAAAAGCAGTGAATAACGATACCAATGATGCGCCTCAACACACACGTGATGTTCAACAACACAAGCACAGCAGTTTTGAAACAGGACAAAGTGGGCGGTTGAACGTCTCTTCAACCTACTACACCGTTCCAAATTCTCCAGGGAAACGCCGTCGTGGAGATTCAGAAGTCCTACTGGAGACTACAGAGTTTAACTTTACAACTCTCGATGACTTTCCTGATAACCTTCAAAATGACACGCCGGAGTTTGTAGAATTTGTGAGGCAAAAACGCACTGTGGTTCATGGTGAGGCCTTGCGCTTATGGGAATCTGATGCCAACTTGTTCTTGGAGGAATTCCTCCGTCTGGAGGGTCAGGGCGACTATTCGCAAGACATTTGTGTTTGTGGTGAGGAAGCTGCGATATATCATTGTCAGGATTGTCACGGTTCCGAGATGTTCTGTCATTTGTGTATGGTCCGTGTACATGCAAGACAGCCGTTTCATAAAATGGAGGTATGTGCATAGATACTCACATTCCTTACATCAACTGACTCTTGTGTTTTAAACTTAGCGTTGGGATGGCATCTCATTCGACGATATTACCTCGAAGTCCATGGGGATACGTTTGCAACTTGGACACACCTCTGGTGTTTGTTGTGACAACCCACTCCCTGCTTTCAACGACGACTTCGTTATCATCCACTACAATGGTATCTACGAAGTGGGGTTAGATTTCTGCGGATGCGCTTCTGGTCAGCCACACATCGTTCAACTACTACGTGTTCGTCTCTTTCCTGCCACAACAGTCGATCCCAAAACAGCCGCGACATTTCGGGCACTGGAATACTTTCAAATGTTGTCTTTCGAGTCCAAAGTTTCCACGTTTGAATTTTACAAAACAGCTGCCCGTTTGACGGACAATACAGGAATTCATGTACCAAAGGTATGTGCTAATGTTAATTCTAATTCTCTTCTAATTTGTCATATTACAATCTAGGACCGTTATGAATCTATGTTGCGCATGATGCGAGAGTGGCGGTTCATCAAGCAGATGCAACGCGCTGGTCAAGGTCATCACCCCAAAGGTATCGCAGCAACTGAACCAGGCGCATGTGCTGTATTATGTCCTGCATGTCCCCATGTAGGAAAAAATCTGCCAGATGGATGGGAAAACGCACCATCTGAAATACGGTATGTACGTTTAGCATCTTTTCCCTCCGACTTTGCTCTCACACAGATCCAGATTCCTATATGCCTTATTTCTGGGCATTGATGCCAATTTTCGTCTGGCTCGCCGTAACGTCTCTTCGGCCACGGCCGATCCTGGTCTCAATCACGGATATGCTTTTTTTGTAGAGGAACATGCCTACAAAAGTTTCATCAGTTCACAAGAATGAGCTGCCCAGGAGGTAAGTCCATCATTCTATTCGTCCTGGGCACTAAGTATAACTCTGTGCAGATAAGTTCGTGCTCCAGTCACAATGCGGTAAATCTCGCAGATACAAGAGTCTCGCGTGGGCTTGCGGCCACTGGCGCCGGTACCATCGATTGTGCACGACACAATTTCAAACGGCCCTGCTCCATCGGCGACTTACAAAAGGGTGAACGGTGCATAATGTTCACTTTTTAGTCATATTATTATTAACAGCACAATACAGGTACCTTAATATGGATTACTTATTTTTCTCTAGCATGCGGTCTTCATCGGACATAGTGGCATTAAATATATCGTACGATATCGCCTGCCAATGGAGCAAGCATATCTGGACACGTATGTCCGCCTTCCCGCACCAGTACCACATCAAACACCACGAAAAGTCCATTGTGTTCCTCGTACCGAAATTTCACCTGCCAGCTCACATCGCCAAATGCCAGACATCCTTCTCCTTCAATCTGATCAAGGGTGTTGGTCGCACGGACGGTGAAGCTCCAGAGCGCGGGTGGGCGGACATAAACTCCATTGCTACAAGTACACGCGAAATGGGTCCCGGTTCAAGGCGTGATACCTTAGACGACCACTTCAATGATTGGAATTGGAAGAAGATATGCGCAATGGGTGAGTTTTTGGCCTCTCACTGAATATCTGAACTTACAGTTTCTGTCTCGCAGGTTTAATTTTCCGCCGAAAGTACAACTTCACATTAATCGAGGTCCAAGAACGTGTCAACGATCTCACCAATTTCGAGGCTTCTCTTGCCACAGATGAGCTAGCTGAATGGAGGAAGGACATTGAGGCATGGGAGGAAGACCGTTCACGACCGAACCCATTTGAAGACAGAGCTACGACAAGTACGTGTACTCTATTCAACGCATTTTGAGAAGCTGATGGTGTTTTCAACAGCAATGACTCAGGCTGCCGTGCGTCTGGCCTTATCAACGGCAGAGGCCACAGAGATTGAGCGCGGTAACGATGTGTCCCTACATGATGATATCTCGCCATCAGTGCTGATTTCATCGGAATTAGAACTTGAAGATCAACAGTTGCGTTGACATTTCTGAACTTCACTGGATCACAAACTGACTCTATTCTAGGCGCCGTCTTGAATTTGATGCCAAGGTGGTTGGACAACACGCTACAGATGTTCAGAAGGGAAAGCTCTTACAGCGGGTGAATGCTCTTCACCGACGCATTGACACATGGGGCCGGGTACAGTTGTTGTATATGCCTGGCGTCTCCCGCCTGCGGTCACCGGATGACGTTGCAACTGAAGCCAAGGTTCACAACATTAACCTGTTCCTGCCGTCCTCTCTACCCCATCGAGTACTGTGTGACGACCGCTTGCTCAAACATGAGTGGGAGTTGCGTGAAGCTCAAGCGTATGACACACTGAATGACCTCTGCACTGTGCTCAACCTGCGATACCATCTTTACAAGTATAAGGATACATTTATCCGAGGACAGCGAGCAAATACCCGAGCAAACGGAATCATCAATAACGCTGAATGTCGCATCGACGCCTTATCACTTAAGTATTCCACCTCTAGAAGCGCACTTCTGAATCTGGCATCAAGGCTGGGCAAGAACGACAACTGGGAGAGGAGCCTGAAGCCACTCGACAAGCAAAAGGATGCGGTACCACTCAAACACGACGATGGCCGAACGATGGGGCAGCAAAGTATATCGTGGATCTGGAAGACTTCAGGCTCCAACAGCAACGAGCTAGGGCTGCAGGACTGTAAGTACGCTCTAACCACTGGTGCTTCTCACTGACCTGGCCATTTTATAGCACTACGTGTTGAATGGTGCAAGGCACGAGCGCGAGCTCATCGCTGGGAGGAAGAAGTGCAGTTACTGCATGAGGAAATGCGCCGCGTCATTGCATTTCTCGACTGGCACGCTGGCTGGTGGGACACGCAAGGTTCACGACGTACTTTTAGCTCACTGCAAGCCGGAGAGGGTGCACTTGCTTATGCCCAACGCCAGGCCAATCTACGCTGAAAAATGGCTGTCCACTTCAAATTCATGTGGGCAGCCAACTCTTCATGGCAAGCTCCCCTCGCAGTTGATCTTCATTCCTAGTTAAACCCCAATTCCCCTCCTTTTGACGAGGGCGAGTATATAATATACTATGTATTTACAAGTGATATATCATGCAAGCTTTGAAGGTGATATGATGTGCAAACTCCGTTCGCAAGTAATATGTCACGCGAGCCTCGTGTAGAGCTTCCAAGGTGATGGCATCACAGAAACCAGTGATATATCACCTTCAAAGTTTGAGGCCCGCGTGACACGCAGGCCTCAAACTTTGAAGGTGATATGATGTGCAAACTCTGTTCGCAAGCAATATATCACGCGAGCCTCGTGTAGAGCTTCCAAGGTGATGCATCACAGAAACCGGTGATGTATCACGCAGACTAATGAAAGTGATATATCATGCAAGCCTCACAAGCTTTTAAGGTGATGTATCACACAAACTAATGATATATCACGCGGGCCTCTCAAGCTTTGAAGGTGATACATCACGCAAACTAATGATATATCATGCAAGTGTTTGAAGGGATACATCACGCAAACTGGTGATATATCATGTGATGCAGGACATCGGACTTGATGTATCACTGTCTACGTGATACATCACAGCACAGCCTGCAGGAAAGGTGAGCGAGTTGATACATCATGGTCTATGGACCACAGGCTCTGATATAACATCAGCCTTCTACAATACTAGATATTAATATATCATACCTACAGGGTATTGTGAATTGGCGTAAGTCTGATCAAACTGTGCCCCACTCTCAAGTTCGCCAACATGATAGCTTCATAATATTAGGTAAGCGCACTTCCTCATCAACTTGATCACGCATCACTCACTTGAACACAGACACCTCACGGCGCTTATTCAGCTTTGGCCCGCGGTCAGTAACATTCTGTACTCTGATTTCGGCGTCTGCAGTGTCCTTGACTTTTTCTCCATAGTATTCATAGGAGTAAATGTCTATTTTTTGCGGTGCCCGGGTCCCCTTAATTTCTACACCACCAGCTAACACAGTGTCGAACTTCAAAGCTCCTTTAACACCACTCGTGCAGCCCAAGCGAGCAGGGTTTTTCCGCCAACGGTACCATGTAGTTAGTTGCTAATCAAAATGAGTTGGTACGTGTGTTTCGCATGCTCACAGATGGTAGTGCTTACCTGTTCACGACTTTCCACAGTGTTTGCCAGATCTTGCACTGAGTGTCAAGACCTAACTGGTTGCAACGAGGACTGGCACGCAATTTGGTGGAATGGAATGGGCCGGTTTCTTCTTGATGGTAGGAATCCACAGCCGTACGACAACGCCGTCAAACACTTCAAGGAACTGCAGTTTGGACGTGTCAGTGAAGGATGCAAAGACCTCATGTTCAAGATTCTCGATCAGGGAGCGGCATTCAAGCACGCCGAACAATTTCTTTCTGAGACTTGCAGCTTCCTAGTAGAGAAACTGGTTTTCGAGCCTGAGCCTCCTTCACCATAGTCTTACTAGTACTCATGTTAGTTTTACTCATGTTCAACCACAAGGACTTCATCCATCGTACGACGTAGACTCGTCGTGTTCAATTGTATAGAGTGATGTTTGTACCAGTACAAATACTATACTGCAGTGGTCCGAGTCTCAAATTGCTTGAAGGAAAGTAGAGATCATAATTATCATGGTGGAAACTTCAAGTTGAGTTTTGATTCCAATCAAAACGCGCCAGCTCTGGATTGGCGAAAACGCGCAGTGCGGGAATGCGGAACCTCTTGATTAAAACGCGCCCACTCTGGATTGACGAAAACGCGCAGCGCGCAAGCCGCGGAACGCGCAAATAATAAATGTGCAGATATAGCGCCATACCTTGACTTGGACGTTGTTTCGATCTTCATGCTGACCAGACGAAGTCTAAATTTTAACGCGATTGTCACTCATCACATGACTCTTGTGACCACTACCGACTTGCCCGGACGTTGGTCTCGGCCTCACAGCTCTCCCTTGATCACACCAACCTCACGCCATGTCAAGGTCACCCAAGAAAAAGCGTGACACTTGCGCTGCCCTATATTCTGCTGGTATACAGTGTAGTATGCCGACTGTTGATGGTCCACTTTGGTGCCCACGACACAATGAGGTTAGTTCCTCAAACACACAGTAGCGGTACTCTATGGGGTTAAGCCGGTGGTTTGAATCTCGTTCTAGGAACGACTGAAGCTTTATGCAAACTACAAGGCGCATCATGCACTACTAGATACACTTGTCGATAACCCGGCGTGCAGCGATGTTACGACAATCCTGGGGTGCACCGCCCTTCCGCTCCTCAAGGAATGGAATGATTGCTTGAGGCTCAAGTATAATTTGTTGACCAGGTACATGCCTTTATGAGTGTCATTTTACTGTCATTCACTGAGTGTCGGTGGAAGATGTATAGAAGCTCGAGTCTACTTCTCCGAGCGTTTTTTCGGGTGAGTAGGCATCTCCCGTATCATTTGACCTCATTGATCGCATTACTTTTTTTGCCATGATAGCAATGACATGGTATGAGATTCTAGGCGGAATTTTGAACCTGATTTCACCTGCAGGATAATAGGACTTTGGTCACAAAGCCTTTTGGGAATCCCTCGTCAAGAAACGTGCTGAAGTCGAAAGATTCTTGTACTACGTCGAGACGCGGGCCTATCAACTCATCCTACAGGCACAGAATGCGCTTTGGGTCTTGGATCGCGACCCTGATGCACACGATTCAGGAGACTGCTCAGGCTATGAAGACGAATCTCTTGGTCGTGACGCCTCCTTCCATTCTATAGAAAGCGACCGGGATGCAGCTATCGACGATCCTCTGGAGGCGGTACTGCGCGAGAAGTCTGTGGAATTCCTGGAGAAGATCAGGTCCCGTCTGGCCCGATACTGCTGCACTCCTTCTACCTCCAGGTACCACGATGAACGACTAGAAGTCATATACGCCTATGTGCGCCGCGGAATTTTCACGGAGCCAGCCCTCATGTTCTTGTCTCAGAGCTACGATAGTGTCATGGCGCTTCTCAATGACGACAACCTTGGACCTAGTGACCTTGGAAAAGATCTGGAATGCTGTCAAGACTTTGTGTGTCCACGATATCAGGGATGCTGTGGACGACGTTCTGCGGGTCAATAGGGAAGGCGACTACGTGATGGTCTTGGGGGGCAAGGTTTTCAAGGAGACCAGCGGTGAGGAATGGCCTTTGCACGCCTGGGGTCACATGATGGCAATTTACCATTGCTACTCCTGCCTCCGCACGGCGTGTAAGACGGTACGTATCTATACCATGCACCCGTGAGTTAGTAGCCTATGTTTCAGTTCTCCAGATGGACGAAGTCATTGCCATGACCCGATTTGCCTTGTTCTCCGAGACAGCCCTCTCCCAATCGTGTATCAAGTACGAATACGGCTTCGACGGTGCGAAAGAACTGATCTTGGCGGGTTTCATTCCCAGCGACATACCGCTCTCCTCACCTCGGCATTCCATCATCTGCACGGATAGTGGTTCTCAGTCGTTCGGGCCCATGTGGGAGGAGACGAAGCGCAACCTGTCTCTGTACGGCTCTCTATCTCTCAACGACGCTAAAGCACAAGCCTTTGTCAACGGCTGCATCCGACATCCTGATCTCATGGTCATGTTGCGCAAGGGAGCAGACGGGCGTGTCATCCGCTCGCGGCCGGTGGTATGGACCTCGCGGAAGCGACACGCGCGAAGCCGCTCGACACTAGCATCTGTACCATGGGAGAAGACTCGCGACGTCGTGCGCTGCGAGGACGATGATCTGGAGGAGGCGCAACCCTCTGGGTGGAACCACGAGAAGATCGCGGACTGCTTGATGGTAGTGCTCGTTGATAGCGGCGAGGGCAACATGGGCGACTTTGTGCGCAAGCTGTTGGAGATTTGGTGCCAGGTATACCATGTCAAGGATAAGAAAGAGCTTTACTGCGCATTGGAGACAACGTTCGTAGAAGCCGGGGAGCTTGAGCAGTGCACATGTGGGCGACACGAGATCACATTCACGCCATCAATCAACCAAGGAGACGTGATGAACGCGTATGAGAGTTTGTGGGGGACGCCACCGCCGCCTTGGTTAGTAGAGAATCCGAATAGGTTCCGCCTGGCAACGGATTCGTTTTGAAACGGGTCTGGAGTTTCCTTCACGACAATAGGAAAGCAACGAACTCGTAATCAGTTATGTCATTAGTTTCGTGGATATACTTCGTATCATAGTACCACTCCCTACTTTGGATTATATATACCTACCCACAGCTAGTGGTAATCCCCTGCATTTTATATCCCTGTGGTTCATGTTCATAGTATTACACATAGATGCAGCGAAACAAAAACAACCCGACTACAGTACTAGTAGCACTGAGTGCAGAGTAAGATCCGACTACCCTAGAAATTCTCTGCACAAAACGAGTCAGCTAGGCCTGGCAGCGGAGGGACAAGCAGAAACGCACCCTTGCCAAAGAAGAAGCGCGTGCCTTTGGGATTGGAGTATTTGTTGGACATCTGGTGGAGCTGCCTGGAGAGCACTGGGGGGCCACAGAAGAACTAGAAAAGAACGGGGGTGAGCGAACGAGTTAACAGTAACAACAAGCTACGAACCACTCCAACATCAGTTTCGGGGTGCTTTTCAACCATGGAACTAAACACTTTGTCCCAGTTTGGCCTGCCGAAATGAGTGGGAGCACGCAACGAAGTGATAGCGTCTTTCTCTGCACCGACATCTTGGACCTAAGGAAAATATAATTAGTACAGAAACTACCAATAATACGAGGTACCACGCACTATAATGTTGTTCATGTCGTCCTCCTTGATCTTTGCAGTAAGGTAGATATTGATCTCGATTCGGTTTGTCGTGTCCTGCTCTTCGATAGCCTGCAGTAGCGAGTGGAACCACTCGGCGCTGCCAAAGTCACGGATGACCCAAGTGAAGTAGACCTTAGAGAGACGGGTGGGCTTGGAGTTGTTCAAGTTGTTCATGCGGTACCAGATGGACTTCAAAATGCTAATGTATATGGTCAATAATGTCATCAAGTAAATGAGGGATGTGATACGCACGAAGCGAAGGGCGTGACACCAATTCCGGCACCGACAAGGAGGACAGTCTCATAATTTAAAAAGTCCTCGCTGGCACTACCGAACGGACCGTCAACCATGATACGAGGGAGCACACGGTTGAGCGGCGGATTTGTGTTCGTGCCAATAACCTTCCCACCACTGGCATCGACATCCTTGGAATCCTTGGAGTCGAAGTTACAGCCGACAGCCTTGGCAAGCGCAGCGGTGAAATCACCGGCGACACGGATGTGCACAGAAATATAATCTTCCTCAGGAGCGCTGTGGCATTATAAGCATTTCCTCGCAAAAGCGATTAGGGAGTTGACTTACCTTGTAAGGGTGAAGGGATGCCACTGGAAATAGGAGATCTCTGGGCAAGAGATGAAGATATATTGCCCTGCCCGAGTAGTGGTCTTCTCTTTTTTGATTTGGATTTCGACGACTTTAGATGGGTGTTGGATGACCTTGGAGATAAAAGTCTTATGACGTGAACGAACTTCACGTAAAATCCGCTCGTATGTCCAAATGAGGCCACCGATGAGCCAGTATCGCTGAAAAAAATCGTTGTCAAGCGATGGTACAAAATTAGCTTGTTAAAGTTCACGCACCCAGAAGACACCAATAGTGTTGAAGGAACAGAACGGTTCTCTGTCCGGCTTGATCATGCACCACATACCATGGAACTGCCAAGCGAGGAAGAAGACGACAAACAAATGGTGTGTGTACCAAAACCTCTCGAAGTTAGCGCGGCGCCTTTTCTCCATAGCGAACCAGACCATGACGCCCAATGCAATAGTCATAATCCAACCCGTAGCACCGGGACCGGTGGCAAAATTTGCTTGCAAGAAGACGAGCACACGTTTGCCAAATGTATTTGCATCTGGATCAGCTAGAGCAAGCTCGTAAAAGTTGTGCATGTGAGCACCGATGTGGATTAGAGTGAAGACAACCATGGACCAGGCTGTTGCCTTGTGGAATGTTATGTTCTTGTCGAATGGGATAAACGAATTAAGGGGTGTTCTGCGAAGCAGGGAGATGAAGTTTCGGCAGACTGGCAAGAGAATGAAGATAACATCGGTATGTAGTACAAGTGCTGCAGATCTAGCGATAGCTATGGTAATATTAGAGGGGGACCTACGCGACATATCTGAATGCTTACCGTAGGTGACGCCAAACGTTGCGCGGGCTCCAGTGAGGTCGTCACTGAGCTGGTAGTTCATGAAACCGAAAGCAATAACAAGCATGTGGAAAAAGATCCAAGCAGAGAAAAAGAGGCGTTTTCCACCCTCGTTGATCATCCACAGGTCAAACTTTTGACCGAGAGTTCGAGGACCATCAGGAACTTTGGGGGCACCAATGCCAGCATTTGGAAGAGGTTGCTGGATACCCTGAAGACGGAAGCGTTCTGTTTTGTTACGCTGGAGGTGGTTTGGTAGTGCATAGTCACCCGCGCCGTCGACAAAGGGGTCCTGGTCTCTGAATGGGTTACGATCTTTGAAATCAAGACCGGAGGACCGTTTGAAATCGGACATGAGTTGTTCCGGTCAATAGTTGAATGATACAAAGAACGACCTGCGTGTATAACAAAAGAGAGGACCTGCCTGCTGTAGAGAAGGGATATGTATGATGGGAGGGGCACGGTAAGATTACAAGGTATCATGAGAAGACAATTTATGCATTATTGTTCCTCGACGATCATTCGAATTCCCACGACATCACTTAACTACAGGTAACTACCCCGTGTGGCTACTCTTCGTTACTACTACTTGCAGTTGCAGTGCTATGTTTCGAAAATGTGCATATCATTCTGATAGCCAGAACATCACTAAGGCTGCGCCCCCAGGGCCCCATCATTCCACATATCAGATAAGTAGCGACATCCGGCTGTGTTCTAGAAAGCCTGTGACCGCGTACGATTAAACTTAACAGAAATGGTATGGTCCTCATACTATCCCCCCTGGTATGCCCTGGCAGTTACTTTCTATCCTCGTGCTTCAACTCGATCAGGTCCATCATTATTGCGGCAGGGCTTCATCACCGTTTAATCAAAATTGATGGAGCAGGCTGTCCAGATAGCTCCGACTCGGAGTCCATCATGGCTGCAATACGCACCCTTGGCTCAGTCACGGTGAGCTTGAGCTGACAGATATATGATTAGACTACGAGTGGTCTCAATCAAACCAAATGGATTACCGCAGCGCCCCTGCCAGTGGGTTCGGGGCGAATATCTCGCCATTCCTATGGTAGGGGCACAGGTATTTGACAACGGTTCCGGTAGCACTGCGAGGAGCTAAAATTGATAACACAGCATATACCTACACGCCCAAATTCAAGAGACCAGGCCGCCGACTTGGTGACCCGCCACCGTGACAGTGACTTCATGTGAGGGTATTCTCTGACTCTCCGACAACCGGGCCTTGAGCTTGAGCCCCAATGGGCCGTCTCTCAAGATCTCAGGCCCGACCTACGACCTCAAGCTAAATTTCACAACAATAGTTGTGCTAGGCTCGTGAGCGGATGTCAGTTCGCTGGCGCTGCTTGTCCAGTTACTGACAGAGACAGTCTGGAATTTAGCTGCACGCAACGTAAGTACACATGAGTTCAACGGAAATTATATCAGCTGTCCGTCAACTGTAACATCGAATGACTGCTACTACACAGTAATATATTAGTATCCAGAGCCTCTTGTACGGTTGGATTCGAGCGAATGATAATCCGCCATTGAGATCAACCCATATGTATTCTATCCTACTGATCGTCCCTCCTGGTAAAAATTGAGCCGGAGTAGTATTTGCCACGTACCCTACATAGTAGTAGCCCATTCTACAAATCAATGTGTAGTTCCTGATAGATGAGTTGCAGTAAAAAAGTAACACGCCCGCCCTCAGGGTGTGTCAACGGTGACATGTGAAACCTCGCATACCTATACTCCGCTAATGTGTTATACCTGTGGCTGCTTCATGCCATTCGAAGGTGAGCAACCTCTCTTTGAACGCGTCTGCGTCCTCTGGAGAGATGGGAGGCCCGCCATATACCTGCAAAACCTGCAAGTTGTTGAATGGGGCCTGTGATGTGATGTCTCTATCCCGCGCTCGTTGCACCGCATCGTTGCGTGCATCGATCAAGGCCAGAAGCGCATCGGCGGAGAATTCTGTGCAATTGTCTATCTTTAGTTGGGACCAGTTTGGAGACGTGAGTTTGTTTGGATCCCACAAACGGTGAATGTCACGAATGGTACGATCGTCGAAGGTGGGACAGTTTTTGATGGAAAGACAATTGCCGTCCCAGATATTAATAGCATTCGCCATGTGTGAGAAAGGACCTTCCAGCACGAGGGTGTCAGCCTGAGTCAAGCGAATGTGATATGCACAAGGTGAGAGCTCGTGCTTGATGTGTACAAGGCGTGGAGCTGGTCCGGTCTTAGACATGAAGATGGTACGGACCGTCGAGAGGTCAATGGACTGCAGGCTCACAGCTTCGATCTGAATGTCGTAGCCGTCCTCTCGCGTGAGAATGCCATCAAATGAAACATCTTGAAGAGTCAGCTTCTGAAGTATTCCAAACAAGCGATGAAGTCTGTCGACGATGAGCAAAACGTCGTGCAGGTGTAACTCTCCTGTTGGGTATTTGCCACCGGAATAACGCGACACACATAGGTCCTCTAGGTTTTGAAGTGACTCGACCCAGCGAAGGGCGCAAGCGTCGCGGAGATTGCGCCCGTTGAGAAAGAGGTGCCGAAGCACTGGAGCGTAGAAGCGCCACTGCTCAGGAACTAAGCTGCCTACGAGAGGATGCTCGCCATCATCGACCCCACATTGCAGCTTTAGCCGTTCAAGGAGAGGTGCAGTGACGTTCAGATGGCGGAGAGCAGGCAAAGAGGAGCTGCGAAGGAGCTGGAAACATAAAGCCCTGCAGCGATGTAGATGGGGAACAATCAGCGCCATCACTGTGGCTGCTTGGGCGCCCTCGTCATCATTATTTGTGCGAGAATTAGAAAGGAATCGTTGATCTCGCGTGACGGTGATTTCGAAAGTGAGCTTTCGGGAGAGATGAAGGTATGTGTTGATATCTGAAAGCTTTGTGGTATCAAGATTGATGATTATACGTGTCCAGAAGCGTGGCACCGACGCAAGAACATCTCTCCAGGCCTTGCATACGGCCGCGGGAGCAAATGGGAACTGCGTGCGAGACTGCGGGCTACACGCAATCCACTCTCCGTTCAGCGTGCTATCTGCGTAAACATGCTCGAAGATTAATAGGAGCAACTCTGGTGGCAAGCCTCTATTATTGAGTCGACGGTGATGAGCGCCAAATTGGCGTTTCCTGCGTGAAATTTCCACCCTAGTTAGAACTGGGTGCATACGGGGGAAGAAGGTAGAAGTACTGGTCATGCGAGGTCTGGCCACTGGAGCTAAGGTGGAAACCTGCAGGCGCATAGACAAGGGGTTTCTGGGTGATCATATGTGAAGACTCCAAAGATAGAATGCTTATTCAAAAACAGTTTGTGGCAACCAACTGGAAGTTTTTAGTGTGCAAGAGCATTACCATGGTATGTAGTATGGAAGCAATCGATCATTGAAGATGAATTGAAATATCGCAGCTGTTATATTCCCACAAAGTCGAATCAGACTCCCGGCTAACAACAATAGCCTTGACCGCCGACGTGGCTCATTATCTCATAGCTTCACCGGAACCTTCAAATTCGAGGTCTAATATTCACTTCCATGGTAGCCCCGGATACTCGAACAAGATGGATACTAACAACGTGTTGCAAGGTCCGCTACGACCCACTTATAAATCACCAGTAGTTGGGGTGATCGGCAGTTGCAGCGTGTGTGGGTGGAATTGCGCTGTTGCATGTCACGATACGGGGTTATAATATAGGTATAGGCTAATGTCGAGTGCGCAATTAAGTCTGCTCCGTAATAACCACCTTTTTGCGCTCTGCGTTCGGTTTGCTCTCTCCGGCACGTGTGTGTTTCCGCCGACGTTCTTCCTTGACGGCACGAGTATCGAGCATAGTGCGTTTGAGCTTCGCAGCCTGGTAAACTGGCTTTGGCAAGTGTCGGTTGCTGTGCACCTGGTGAGTACGAATCAAACCGAGCAGAATAATTGTTACCGTTGAATCCTGCCAACTTCGTTGTCGTGCTTCCATTTGTCTTTCAAGGTATCCCGGTATTCGATTGCGGCGCGCTCCCGGGCTGTAATGATACCAAGCTTTTCTGATGCTTTGGCTTTCCATATCCGTACATTACCATCGTCGGAGCCCGTCAGTACAAAACGTGCGTCGGCAGTGAATATAGATGATGAGACCCTTATCGCAGTGTGTGAACAAACTGACGAACGGAGATACATGGACTTACCTTTGCATTCGTTTAGTATGATACACTTCTGGTCTCGTGCCCTGACCCTCCTTCCATATTCTTACTGTTCGGTCCCATCCACCACTAACAAATTCCAATCCAGTCGGGCTCCAATCACAGCTCATAACTGCTGCAACATGTCCTTTGTAAATGTGAGTGGGAGTTTTCAGTTGCCTGACATCAAACGTATAGAGATTGTGATCCTCAGATGCAAGCAAGACATTCGTTGGAAAAGTTGGTGACCATGCAAGCGCGTTTGAGCTCATCTGCATGACAATACGACGCTCTGCCTTTCCTGTGCGAATATCATAGAGGGTGAAAGTTCGATCTGAGCCAATGCTGCCAAGTACGCTTGTTTCACTCAAATTGAATCGCACAGACGTGATGGTCTCGGTGGATGTGGGGAACGTTAAGTTGGATATTGCAGCGCTCCTGGATGCCAAATCAGCTGAGACATGATCATAGAGATGGACAGCGCCCACTTTGTTTCGTCCCATATTTGAACAATGTTTGAAGCTGTGGCAAAAAGTGGATCTGAACGATGGTGATCTATTGAACTGTGGAGGGATGTGTCAATCAGATGTAGATTTTAATGTATCTAAGCAGCGTACTTGAATGCTGATTTCCCAGGATATTCATTCAACGGGCGCTGCTCCTAGATGGACTGGGGTAGATATACAAAAAAACTCATCGCCAACTGAGGAACTGACTGTTATATCATCTTGTGGGCTCGCGTCCCAAAGTTTGATCTTGCTGTCCACACCGCAGCTTAGCAGCCGGTCGTCTTGAGCAAAACAAAGGCCCGACACTTTGCCCTTATGGGCACCTTGTATTCGACGGATGTGTTTACGCTCGGAAACATTATGCAAAATCACGCCTAGGGGAAAAGATTTTTTGGGGCATAAATGGTTGTCAGCCAAGTCGATTTCTCAACGCACCTCCATCCCAGCTACCGCTGGCAACAGCGCTCAACGACCCAGGCTTTTTGCACAATACCTCGACCGCGTCTATGTGACCCTCGAGAGCCCCTACGAAGGGCTTGGCAAATAGTTTGTCCATTTTGGCAGCATTCAAAGCACGATTCCGCTCACGAGCACGAGCAAATGGGTGCATCAAGGGATCGAGATTGCGGGTGGTAGGCGTAGGGTCTCCAGGACGTGCAGGTAGGTGTACTGAAGGAGCATGTTGAAGAACAGATATTTTCTGAAAGGGCTCAATGATTTACTTGATGCGACTAGACTAATGCTCACCACCATGGTAATGATGTCCGCAAACAACTATTCTGGTGTCACTTACTTAGATTCATGGAAGCGTTTCAATCCTCTGCAAAGTGTGAATGCATCGTGGGAATTTGATACGGTTTGGTCTTTTTTTTCGACACCTCAGAATCGCTAGTAAGTACTAACATAGTGTTGAACCACATTGTTCGTGGAGCTCATTCGAAGTCATCGTACGTTCGCTTGCCAGATGTTGGACATTTCTGCCATTGATCTAATTACACTCATTTACGAACTGCAGATACGACGGTGTTTGTCACTGTAGTCTATAATAATGGCCCTTCAGGGGATTTAAAATTGAAACACCATTCCACGATGCGGCATATACCATCCCCTGAAGATTTCCAAGTTACTCGTTGAATTTTCGTTCGCTGTCGCCGCCACCTTCTCTCGCTACTTTCTTGCATATCTAAATGTGATCATTTCTGTCGAGTAGTGTGGGCGGTGTTCAATGGTAGTACTACTAGTAGTATCAAGTAAGTGAACATATCTGTTTGTGTCGATAGCTTTTCATCAATTAACGCTCACCCTCACACTTGGATCAGTCGCATTAGAAGTCATCCACCGTCTGAGCTGTTTTAAATGGCCGTCAGGCTTCATTCCGCTCATCATATGACGGTGCTCCGTAATGGCTGCCAGGGTAGATGGTGGTGCCGCTCCGATGGAGGAACAGATACAGGAGTGTCCAGGTTTCAGCTATGTTGCATCATCCATATTTTCACTAGTTCATTTGCGTCGCGTGCAGTTGCTACTGAGAAACTGCGGATCAGTCGCTTCTCTCCATCGCGCTAAAATGGGATCAACTTTTGCACCTGGCCGGGCATCGGTGCTGCATCTATGTAAAACATAGTGTTTGCGCCGCCACATTTTACCATCACAGCAATGCAGCCCATGTTCCTCGGTTGCTCCGTTTTAGAGTCGGAAACTTCCGACGCCAAGTTCAATCAGCGATTAATTCTTTCTCCGGATTATGCTGATGAGTTGCGTTCATAATTTCATTTGCTTTGACTATATCATTATGTGAGGCAGAGTGGGCAGTACAAGGTCTCGATGTGACAGCACATCGTCCGCCTCTGCAATTCGTTTTTCCCCCGTATCCTTGCAGTGATCGACTCGTCGTTGTTTCCATGTTGGAAATAGTCTTTGTTAGCCGGTCGCTAGTTCGGTCGTATACAGGCACAACTTGCGCAGAAGATCAAGAGCAGGTAAGTTTCGGTTGCCGTTCGTCGATGCCACATACTAAGTACATTGTTTCATTGCGTCATCTTTCTCGCACGAACTGAGAAGGGCTGAGAAGCAAAATTAGCAAATGCAGGCAAATCAAATTTGGCACATGGGGCCGTACTGAGTGAAGCTGCGACTCGGCGGATGGAGAAGTACGTCTCGAACCAGACGTTTGGTACCTCGGCAATCTTCAAGCTGTTGGCTCGGAAAGTGCCATGTCACGCGAGAACCGACGCATATTGGTGCAGGGGGCCCCAGTAGTGGATACACGTCCAATGTCGCGCGCCTATTGCCAATCCTGCCTTTCGACGACAATTAATTGTGCAAATAAGGCAATCAGTGCCGATCAGCATCTGCCACGTGGAAATCCACAGATCGTGATGATGGAAGATTATATCTGTCGTTCAAAGGTTGTCCAACGATTAGATACGACTCCATTTGTATCCCCCATCATCTAGCCAGCTATATAGGCTGAGCCTCTCCCGCAGTGCTGCCTTCGCAGCAAGTACTGCATTAATATTAATACTCGGTCTCAGTCTCCTCCAGCCAACTCTAGCCATCGTTCATTGGCTTCTGTCCACGATCCTTATTCACTTGCCACAAGCTTATACTTCTTCTTGAGCAGCTGCTTGCTAGTATGAGTTCACCATTGGGCTCTGTAGCTTGTCTGCTTCCTGCAGAAAATCTTCGCTGCATTCCTCTGAACCTCATTCAAATTCACACTCTCGCCATACCTCCTGTTATCGAGCTCTTTTTCTCCCTGTTTTTGATCCATACAACCTGGAGATCGAGGAGGTGCGTCAGATTAAATTTTAGCTGAAAAAGCTTGGATATCGAGCTCAATGTTTCTGCACCGTTCCTTGCGACGGTACCCTTTAATATCTATCACCATCTGTCACATCGATCGGCTAATGACTTCACATCTAGAGTACACCTATTGCTAGCTGCAGATGGTGTTTTTTATTTTATCTTGGCGCTTGTCGACCAGTTATTGTATGTATTACCCGCTGCGCGGAATTCGGTTGCCACTTCTAGAGTGGCCGAACTATTCCTTGGTATGTGACTATACATACCAGAGAGCCTGAACGCTGAGACCCACACCTACTCTTCTGTTGCTGCAGGATCTGTTTCTTTTGTTCCTATGCTGTTATACACTTCCTATCTAGCCTGGCTGAGTCGTAGGGAATTCATTCCCTACCTCCCTCGCCGTCACCAACTTGCAGCCAAATATCTATTCACCGGTCTAATTCCCGTGATTGGAGTGTTGGATTTCGCAGCATCGCTCGGAATGTCTATCCGTGAGAGATCTAATCCATTCGTGTTGTTCATGACTGATGTATCGTCAGAAAATTTATCCTTGCCACGGGCCCCGCTCATGATCGACTTCACCAACAAAAACGAATCGCTATGGCTGAGTCTCTGCCAGCTGTCACTTGCACTGTATACGAACTATCAATGTCTAACAGCCTTCCTCGCGTTGTACCGCCTCTGTACGGCCTTATTCGATCAACTGCGCATCGACACCAATAATACCGACGAACGCCATTTTGTCAACGGCACTGGGTGGATTGCTTTCGGCATCAAAGTAGGAGCTGTTGAAGGCATTATTGGATTTGCAGCGGGCGGTTTCGCTATTCCACTTTCCAGAAGAATCCTACGACTGGTTTCCAGGGTTTGCATGATTGTTGGCATACTGAAGGGGT